TCTGTCCCAGAGAAACAAGGGGTGCAATTTCTGTTCAAACCTTTGGTTCTTTGTGCACCAGATTCCAGACCTTGCTCCATTGATTATTTTTCTCTCTCTCCTTTTTTTCTAAAGTTCCATCCTCTCCACTACCTCTTTGATCCTTAACTGTCCAACCTGCTTTGCTTCCCCCTTTAAAACTTTTTTAAAAAGATTTTATTTATTTGAGGGCGCCTGGGTGGCTCAGTTGGTTAAGCGACTGCCTTCAGCTCAGGTCATGATCCAGGAGTCCCTGGATTGAGTCCCACATCGGGCTCCCTGCTCGGCAGAGAGTCTGCTTCTCCCTCTGACCCTCCCCCCCCTCATGTGCTCTCTCTCTTTCTCTCATTCTCTCTGTCTCAAATAAATAAATAAAAAAAAATCTTTAAAAAAAAAAAGATTTTATTTATTTGAGAGAGAGCATGAGAGAGAGAGAGAGAGAGAGAGAGAGAGAGCAAGCAGGGGGGAGGGGCAGATGGAAAGAGAGAAGCAGACTTCCCGCCAAGCAGGGAGCCCAATGCGAGGCTCCATCCAAGGACCTTAGGATCATGACCTGAGCCAAAGGCAGATGCTTAACCAACTGGACCACCCAGGCGCCTTAAAACTTTTTTTAAAGAAATTCTTCTCTTAGCCTCTGTCACTTGTCAAACTGCCCCATCTTGCCTTTCCTAAGCCAACATAGTTCTTTTTTTTTTTAAATTCAGTTAGCCAACACACAGTACACCATTAGTTTCAGATGTAGTGTTCAACAGTTCATCAGTTGCATGTAACACCCAGTGCTCATCACATCATGTGCCCTCCTTAATGCCCATTCCCCAGTTGCCCCATCCCTTTACCCATCTCCCCTTCAGCAACTCTCAGTTTGTTTCCCATAGTTAAGAGTCTCTCATGGTTTGTCTCTCTCTCTGATTTCTTCCCATCCAGTTTTCCCTCCCTTCCCTTATGGTCCTCTGCACTATTTGTTATATTCCACATATGAGTGAAACCATATGATAATTGTCTTTCTCCAATTGACTTATTTCGCTTAGCATAATCCCCTCCAGTTCCATCCATGTCGATGTGAACAGTAAGTATTCATCCTTTCTGATGGCTGAGTAATATTCCATGGTATATATCAACCACATCTTCTTTATCCATTCATCTGTCGAAGGACATCGCGGCTCCTTCCACAGTTTTAAGCCAACTTATTTCTTAACAGAGCAGGTAGTCTTTACACACTGAGATGCCACTTTCTCAAGCTCTCACTCATCTGCAGCAGACTTCCTCTTCTCCACCCCCACCTCTCCATTGAAACTGCTCTCACTGTTCATCATCCACCTGATTGCAAAATCCAGTGGCCTCTAAGCAATTCTCATCCTCCTCAATAAAAGCTGCATTCATCTTCCCCTCACTGTGTGCCAGGCATAGCGTTCAGGGCTTTGGATTTAGTAGCCAAGTCAGCCCTCATACAACTCTCTAAAATCAATTCATACTCCTTAAAAAAAAAAATGTTGACACCAAAACTCAAAGTCACACAGCTGGAAGCAGTGAAGCCCAGCATGTCTCTTCCACCTCAGTGGTTCCAAAGGATTTTCATTCCAAAGTTTATCCAAAAGGGAAATCCAAAACCTTATAGCGTTTATTAAATCAGGAGACAACATTTCACATCACAGCTAAGTAACCTTAGCTGCATCTTTGTCTCTGTGTTAGAAATGTGTGAGCTAGAATGTGTAAATGGTTTCAGCATAAGCATTAGGACAAGGACAGAAGCATCCAGTTGGTATCGCAAAGAACAGTGGGCTGAACATACAGGGGAAGCAGCTGAGCCCATCAGCTAAGGCTGAAGGACCTGGAGTCGTGTGTGCTGGAATTTCAGCCCCAACATCCACCCTGGTAGCTCCAGAGGCTGAAGTAGGGCCTGGCACCTCATAGGCACTTGGACGATCTTCGTTAAGTAGTGACGCTATGATCTTCAGCGTGTTGCGGATCTTTCTAGGCCTCACTTCCCCATGTCAGAAATCAGTCAATAATAGTACTTACTTCATAGGGTTGTTATAAGGATTAAGTGAGGCAGTGCGTGGAATGTATTTGACCCAGTGCCTGGTTTGCTCAGCACATTGCAGCTGTACCAACTGAGACAGGCTGCCTTGGCTCTCCATTCAGAAAAGACAGAAAGCCTGGGTGGCTCAGATGGTTAAAGTGTCTGCCTTCGGCTCAGGTCATGATCCCAGGGTCCTGGGATCAGGTCCTGCATCAGGCTCCGTTCTTAGCGGGGAGCCTGCTTCTCCCTCTCCCACTCCCCCTGCTTGTGCTCTCTCTCTCTGTTAAATAAATAAATAAAATCTTTTTTTAAAAAAAGAAAAGACAGAAATCGTAGTGGAGGTTAGGCTGCTGTAACAGGGAGAACCCATGTTCTTCTTCCATGAAGAACACAAAAGCTTCTTTCTCACGCCCCCAAGTCCTCTATAGGTACAAGATAACAGACTGCAGCATTCCAAAGACCAAACTATTCAAGGGGTTTACGAAAGAGAACTGGACAAGAGCCTACCAATGCTTGTTGACTTCTATACCTACTCCATCCTTCAAGCTGTCAGGAACTGGGAACAAACAATTACTGAGCTCTTTCCATCTTTCCAATTACTGAGCTCTTTAACATTGAGTGGGAAGCCTCAAAGGTATTAACTCCTTATACCAACTTAGAGCCATTGTGGTGGGACACACATGTGAGATCTCCCAAAGAGAGCCCCCCACCGCAAGATCAGCTCCAATACTGTTAACTAACTTGAATTTAAATAAAATCTTGAAAGAAAAAAAAAAGATCATCTCCAATACTGGAAATTATTCCTTCTCTAATACAATAATTAGGGTCAAGACACACAGGACCAATCCAGTGCAGAACACTTGACATCTGTCTGATAAATCAGAGTACCCACTAATGGCCAAGTTTAGCCCAGAAGAAAACTGGATACTTTGGATAAAGAGCGGTGGAAGGGAATGAGAAGTTCTGCTGTGTGTTTATTCCTCATCATTGTACCTCAAATAAACAGTGTCCCATTTTAAGAGCTTGGGTATCGAGTACTTAATTCAAATGGCTTGGGTTAAGGAGAAGTGGAACAAGATATCCTGAGGGTGCAATTATGTTGTCCTATTGAGCTCTGTAGAGATGTGGCTGAATGCACAGTAAGACACTGTGAGGAATTCAGAGCTGCAGAAACGGGGAGCCTGATGGAAAACCAGAAGCCCAGGATCTCCAGGGTTAACACAGAACGAGTGTAGCTTGTGGATCTAGGTCTGGGACTTCCAGGCTAATTTGATTAGGCTGACTCTAGTTCTCGCTTATGTTTTCTACCACCTTAATTCCTGATTAAGGCTCATATGCTCCCAGCCAGGGACCCTCTTCAGAACAGTAGGGTATATGGTATAAATAGTTGAGTGTTGCTCAAAATAGAAGCATGGAAAGAAGAGGCTGGTTGTGGAGATAGAGAGGACTATGGTAAGCCTCAACCACCATGTTAATGAGCTCAGACTTTATCCAGTGAACACTGAGTAGATGTTGTAAGATTTTATGCCAGGAGATAACATGATCAGATTTATGTTTTAGAGGGGGAAGTTTGTAAGAGGCCAAAATCAGTTGGGACTCTATATGGCAAGGAACAGAATTTCTAGTATAACCATCTTAAGAAAATAAGTTTATCTATTGGTTAATATAACTGAGAAATTTAGGGCGCCTGGGTGGCTCAGTTGGTTAAGCAACTGCCTTCGGCTCAGGTCATGATCCTGGAGTCCTGGGATCGAGTCCCGCATTGGGCTCCCTGCTCGGCAAGGGCCCTGCTTCTCCCTCTAACCTTCCCCGCTCTCACGTACTCTCTCTCTCTCAAAATAAATAAATAAATCTTTAAAAAGTATATATATAACTGAGAAATTTACAGACAGGCCCAGCTGTAGGCTTGGCTTGATCTAGAGCTCAAGGAGCATCTCCAGTATCCATATTTGGCTCTACTTCCCCAGAGAGTCAGCTTCATTCCCAGGCCGGCTCAGCTTGTGTTAGCAAGATGTTAGCACCCCTAGCCTCAGAACCTCATGCCACCAAATCCAGAGGAAGAGAGAACATCACTTCCAGGAGCTTCCAATGAAGCTTCTTTGATCCTTCTTAGAAGCTCTAGCAAATATTTCCTAATGTCTCATTGGCTTTCAACCAGGTTATCTGCTCATTCAAGAACTATCGCTATGGCCAGAAAAACTGTGTCTTAGTCTATTCAGACTGCTATAACAGAATACCATAGACTGGGGGGCTTAAACAATAAACATTTGCTTCTCACACTTCTGGAAGCTGGAAGTCCAGGACCAAGGTGCCAGTATGGTCAGATTCTTGAAAGGGCCCTCTTCCTGGTTGTGTCCTCATATGGCCTTCCTTGGGGCAAATATGAAAAGAGAGAAATCACATTTCTTCTCCTCTTTCTATAAAGGTGTTAATCTCATCATGAAGGCCCCATCCTCATGACCTAATCTAACCCTAATTACCTTCCAAATACCGTCACATTGGAAATTAGGGTTTCAACATATGAATCTTAGAGGGACACAAACATTCAATTCATAGCAAAATATATTGATATGGGCCTTAGCTAATCAAGACCCATTCTGCAAATGGGGACACATATCAGAAATGGAAAAGGAGCAGCCCCATTTATACCATAACTTAATAGTGGGGTAGGGGTGGTTTCCCAAGTGACAATCAAGGGATGTTTTTATCAAAGAAAGGGATAAATTGATGTTGTGGTAGCCAACTCCCAAGATGACCCCCAAGGATCCTCACATTTTAGTTTTCACACTCTCCCTACATGTACACGAGGTTTGGTCTATGCGACCAGTAGAATACAGCAGAAGTGAAAACGTTGGAAATTAGGTTTAAAAAGACTGTGGATTCCATATTAAGTAATATCTCTCTCCCTCTCTCTCTCTCTCTCTCTCTCTCTGTCACACACACAAACACACCATTACCTCAGAGAAAAGCCAGCTGCAGGGCGGTGACACTCAGGTAACCTAAGGAGAGGCTGACTGAAGCCTCCAGCCAACAGCCGGCAAGGAAGGGAGACCAGCCAACAACGACGTGAGCAGGCTTGAAGCAGATTCTCCAGCCCCATTGAGTCTTGAGATAACCACAGCCCTCACCGACAGCAGGATTGCAGCCCCCTAAGTGATGCTGAGCCAGAACCACCCAGCTAAGCCACTCCCAGATTCCTAACCCTCAGAAACCGTGGGACACAATACATACTTGTTTCCAACTGTTAAGTTGTGGGGTAATTTGCCACACAGCAATAGGTCACTAAGAGAGATGGCAAAGCAATGACAATTGTGCATTAATTCAGTCAATCATGGGATTGCTAGGGCAATGGTAAAGGCAGGGGACAAATTAGAGAAATGCTGAGAAGGTAAATTATAACACGTTGGTAATAGATGTGGCAGGGTGGGTAAGGGGGAAGCAAGAATCAAATTTCACCTCCAGGCCCTAGTATGAGTGCACAGAGAACACAGGATGAGGGGGTAGTGCCCATGAATTCCCTCAGGTTCTCTGAGTTGAAAGTACGTGGGACAGCCACGTCCTGGAATGTCTAGGAGGAGATGCCAGCAGGCAGCGGGTGCATAGGGTCTGAAGCGTGGGAGACAGTGCAGGCCAGAGCAGGTTTTGGTGTTTGGGGTTTTTTTTTTTTTTTTAAGTTTATTTTATTATTTTGTTTAGTTATCTCTACACTCAACGTGGAGCTCGAACTCATGGCCTCGAGATCAAGAGTTGCAAGCCCTTCTGACTGAGCCAGTCAGGCACCTCCAGAACAGTTTTGAAGATACAGTTGAAAGAGATCCCGAGAGATGTGGCAGCTAGACAGTGAAAATAGATGAAGTCACCCAGGTTTTTGTTAGAGGCCAAGATGGGGAGAGAGTATTCTGAGGACAGATTAAGAATGTATTCGCCATGGGGCACCTGGGTGACTCAGTCGGTTAAGCGTCTGCCTTTGGCTCAGGTCATGATCCCAGGGTCCTGGGATGGCTTCGTCAGGCTCCCTGCTCAGCAGCAGGGAGTCTGCTTGTTCCTCTCCCTCTGATCCTCCCCCCACTGTCTCTCTCTCTCTCTCTCTCTCTCTCTCTCAAATAAATAAATAAAATCTTTAAAGAAAAAGAATGTATTTGCCATAAAATAAGTCAATTCTGCAGATGTCATGTACTGCATGGTGACTACAGTTAAAAACACAGTTATTGCATATTTGAAAGTTGCTAGGAGAGCAGATTTTAAAAGTTTTCATCACAAGGAAAAAAATTCTATGTGCGGTGAGCAGATGAATTGTGATCATTTAGCAATATATACAAATATTGAATCATTACATTACACACCTGAAACTCATATAATGTTGAATGTCAGTTATATATCAATAAAAATAAATATTTTAAAACTGTATTTGCCTTGGAAGGAGGCTTCCAGTGACTAGTGGAGGAAGGGTCCAGGAGATCCCAAGCACAAACACTATGGGGACAAGAGTTGGGGGGAGATTGGCTGACCAGAGGCTTACAATCTGGGCAGGACCAAGGGTTCCAGGAATATGAGTAACTTACCTTACTTTTGGGCAGGACACAATCATGTGTATCTACGCTTCACTTGGTGCCTATTTGTATGACAACGTGGCTCACACACTCCGGATTAGTGCACCAAAAAACACATTCATACTCTATTGCATTTAACATTTGATTTTAAATAGATGTTCCTTCTGGTTATGATTATAAGGCATGTCGAGTGCATTTTTAGTGTTTTGTTCAATAAGTCATTTGTCAACCTTGACCTTGCCTAGAATCTGGGCTGTAGTACCCACACCTGCAAGGCAACTTGCCTTTCTTTAAATTCCTGTAGTGTTCATGCTTTACATCTCCTCTAGCAATTGCCACAGCTGCCTTGGAGTAGGATTATTTGTGAGCAGACTATAAACTTCTTGATGTCAGAAACCTTATTTTATAAATCTTGTTTCCTTCTCAGCAAGAAGACAATTCCCCTTGCCCTATAGGCAGCCACATAAACCAGCCCATACGCAACACCCCCGGGCTGGCTGACCAATGCCCACTCCTTGTTCTTGAGGAGCGGTATGTCCTGCCCTCCTGGTTAGACCCTCCGCTGCCTGGAGCTACCCCACAGCCATGAGTAATTGCTCATCATGGGTCAATGAGATTCTCTTTACCTCAGGAATTTTGAGTTTGGAACTGAGAGACACAACATGGAGGCATCTTAATGGCACACATGCCAGAAGGAAGTCTGCTTCCCAGTCTGTGGCCAAAGTACTCAGAATGGCCCTAATGCTGCCTCCTCCTGAAACTGAGTTGTTCAAACCTCCTCAACCTCATGAGAGCCCTGGGACCTTCCACTAATTTCTTCTTTTTACTTCAGCTGGCTTCTGTAACTTCAGCGCAAAATAGCTTCACACACATCATCCAGTGCAAGGAACACAAGATGTATTTATCATTAAGCAAGCACTCAGAAATGTCTAAGGAAATCCAAGGGCAAGAATGGATCCAGGCCTGAGAAGGAGTCTGGAAACAGGAAGTGGGAACTGTCAAGAATATAGAAATATAGTCTTCCTCTCCCTCTCCTCTCTCTCTCTCTCTAATTTCACTTGCTTGCTCCCTGCAGACTGGCTTGCCCTGCCTCTTGGTCCATATGGCAGAAGTTGGCCACACCACGTCCCCCAGTTTTTATATCTTCTCCCTCCAAAGCAGATCCCAGAATGAAAGTGAAATCTCTTAGTCCCGATCCAAGTTCCCTGGACGGAAAATCTGATTAGTCCGGTTTAGGCAAGGTGTCTCTTTTCGTTCCATCAGAGGAGATCAGGTCACATGGTATAAACATAGGGAGCCTACCTCATAGACGAGGATGAAGTGTAACAGGGTCATCATCAACTAGGCTGGCTGCCTAAATGTTGAACAAATGAGCCGCTCAACTTCAAAATGGCCCAGTCTGCCTTAGGTCCAACTTACAACCACCCAACCCCCTTCTACTGGGCAGGCTGAACAGGCTTATCTGTCTTCCTGTATAGGCTCTGCTTTGGCAAAGATGTGTGAAACCACCTTATTGGCCTGAGTCATACTTATTTTTCTCACTAGGTCTGATGTAGGAAGTTACGCTAATAATTACCTACTGTACCTTGTAACATTCAAGAATAGTCGGAGGCCTCCTCTGTGCCAAGTCCCGTGCAAGGGGTTTTGTAGACTTAGCTCATTTGACCCTCTCAACACCAAATATGGGTATTGCTAATCCCATTTTATGGAAGAGGAAATACATTCTTTTTAGAGGTCTATTTTCCAAGGTCCATAACTATGACAGTGCGGGATTCAAACCCAAGTCTGTCTAAACTCAAAGCCCATTTGCTCTTTCCATTGAAAGAGAAAGAAATTGGCCAAGGCCAATTTCAGTATGGAATGGCGAGGTGGGCAGAGTGGAGCCCTGGAAAACAGAGGCTGAGAGCAGAATGGAGCTCTGACTCAGGGGCCGTGCTGTGCTCCCCACAGCCCTCGCGCAGCACACTGCCTCCTCAACCCAACCTCCTCCAAGAAAATGGGGCTAACGAGGAGCACACTAATATGATGCTAACAGCAGGGCTTGAGATTCTGCGCAGTGATTTCTCTTTTGAGTCTCAAAGCATTTTACGAGTATTGCCTATCCCAGGAAGGTTTGAAAGAGGCCAAATTTAGGGCAATGCCAATAATAATACTAACAGCTTACATGTATTGAGTGCTTACTGTTCCTGACATGGCTGCCCAGTCCGTGTGTGCATTCAATCACTTAAACCTGAAAACAAACCGAGTTTTCATTAGAGGTGACTGAGATGGAGACCCAGAGGAAGTCACTTCCAGGGGTCACACAGCAAAGCGAGCATGGGGACCCAAGCCGGTTATCTCAAAGGCTCTAAGTGACACTGCCGTGATGAAAAATAAATACTGGGTAAGCATGCAAGGACAACGTAAGGACCAGAGATGTTTCAGGGGCACCTGGGTGGCTCAGTCGGTTCAGCGTCCGGACTCTTGATTTCAGCTCATGTCTTGATCTCAGGGTCGTGAGTTCAAGCCCCACATTGGGCTTCATGCCGGGTGTGGAGCCTGCTTAAAAAAGAGAAAGAGAGAGGAGTTTCAGAAAACACTCTGTCACAAGAGAGGGAAGGTGAGGCCAGGCGCAGGCAGCCCTGAGGGTGATGCGTCAGGAGCCACACCGTGAGAGGCAGCGGCTTTCACCTCCCAGTGGGTGGTCAAGGTTATCTTTACTTGGTGTTTGAAGCTGCAGCAGCTGCTCCATCTAGCTTGCCTGCCCAGGGCCACCCAGGGTACGCGAACCCCCGGGGACACACCAAGACATTCCAAGGGATATCTGGGCATTAAATTCCATGTTAAGGGACCCACCTGTAATGCTAGATACTTGTCTTAGCCAGTCTGAGATGCTGTAACAGAATACTGTAAACTGGGTGGCTTATAAACAATAACATTTATTTCTGACAGTTCTGGGACTAAATCTAAGATCAAGGCTCCAGGAGATTCCTGGATGAGATGAGAGCCCACTTTCTGGTTCATAGATGAGCCAGCCATCTTCTTGCTGTATCCCCACATGGATGAAGGAGTGAGGGTGCTCTCTGGGTGTCCTTTATAAGAGCACTAATCCCATTACCTGATCATCTCCAAAGGCCCCACCTCCAAACACCATCTCATTGGGGATTAGGATCTCTACATATGAAGGGGGGGGAGGATACAGACATTTGGTCCCTAACAACCCTCCTTTCCAATCTTTTGCTTTTAACTAAATTGGAGGAGGTTATAACCAAGTTGCCAGCCAACACCTTATTAAGTGTAATTTTGGGGCACCTGGGTAGCACAATCCGTTAAGTGTCTGACTCTTGGTTTTGGCTCAGGTCGTGATCTCAGGGCATGAGATCGAGCCCCGCATCGGGCTCTGTGCTCAACAAGGAGTCTGCTTGGGATCCTCTCTCTCTCCTTTTGCCCCTCTCCACTCATGTTCTCTCTCTCTCTCAAATAAAATAAATAAATCTAAAAAAAGTATAATTTTAATCAGTCATAAAATCATTTTTGACCTATAACTCACAAGGAATTTTACAAATTGAGTGACATTAACAAAACTCCATCCATTCCCATCTACTTGTTCATATAAACAATATTTCTTAGCACTTACATATATAAATGCCTCCTTCTTGCAATGAATATTATTCATTCAAGGTTATATGGGGGGAAAAATAGCCTGATCCACCTCATTCAGAGACGTCTTTCCAGTCAAATTACTTTCAAAATGGAATAACTATCAGAAATTGTAATATATTTATTGTGGGGTGTAGGAGGTGAAAGAATTCCCCCAAGGCAGAACAAAAGAAATAGAAGTTTATTGAATACACTGCAAGGGAGCCAGAGACAGGACAGCAAAAGAGATACTCTGCCATGAGGTGGTGGTGAGGGGCTATAGTTACAGGACACAGTGAGGGCATACGGGGATGGATGGAAGTTTCCTTTTTTTTTTTTTTTTTTTTTGTAATCTCAGGAATTGTGCTTGGTTAGAAGTAGCCCACTGGTATGGCTTAATGAACCTGTATGCATCAGCTCCTTGGTCACTATGGGCCCTTTGGCCTTGCTCAAGTTTCTATCCCTCAAGCCTGTTGCCTAAAAGCAGCCTCTATGTTTATGTTGTTTTGATCACAGGCAATTGAACATTTTGAAATTTCCATTTAAAGATTTTATTTATTTATTTGAGAGAGGCAGAGAGAGAGAGAGCATGAGCAGACAGAGGGAGAAGCAGACTCCCTGCTGAGCAGGGACCCTGATGTGGGACTCGATCCCAGGAGCCTGAGATCATGACCTGAGCCAAAGGTGGACACTTAACCGACTGAGCCACCCAGGCGCCCTGAAAATTTCCATTTATATACCTAATTTTGATGCATAGAAATAACAAAATGCTTAAAAATACTTTCAGGTATAAAAACATACTA